ATAGGAGGATCCTGGTACAGAAACCCACTTTTTCTTTAATGAGATCAGTAGTATTTGGGGTCCTTGATTACTCAAACCTTTACATGGAACAATATGTTCTTTGCAGAAAAAGCTAGAGAACAAGGTACACTATTACTACATCAAACAATGTCTGACCAAATCAACCTGGATCCAAAAGCATCAGACAGCACCAGTGAGTAATGCTGCGTTTCAGCCAACACTTCAGCTAACATTAGCACATCCGTTGGAGTTCTTGGGCAATCTTCTTGGTCTTCCAAATAAGCTGAGATCATAATCTTTCTGTTGTTGTTTCCTGCCAGGCACAGAAGTGGTTTCACCCTCAGCCTCTTCCAGACCACCGAAACACAAGACACTAAAGCAATCTGACTCTCCCATAAGCAATTCCTGCCAACTCGAAATCTCCTGAAACAATGGCCTGCACAAGGCCAGTCCTCCAGGAGATGGGGTTTACACAAGGTCCTACACCTTTGCCTAAAAATGAATCATGCCTGGTAAAACCTCTAGGTCTCTATTCCCCAGCAATATGCCATCAACCCCAACAGAGTTGAACCGTGCAAAATGAAAAGGAAACCAGGGACACACTGAACTGAAAACTGCAAGTATATTTTAAATCCTATTTTAAATTCATTTAAATTAACTGAGGTCAGGCAACTTCTTTATTCATCTGGGTTACTCTTATTGGTTTAATATCAAAAGCAGTCAGCCACATTTTTCCACCAAAAATAAAAATTAAAAATCCCCTAACAGAAGAACACTCTAAAACTCAGTAGAGATATGGAGACATCTTACAATAAACTACCGTCTAGAACAACTAATGTTGAAAATTGCTGTTACTTGGCCCTAGGAAACAACTCTTTGTATATTATTACACATTTTGCAGGTCACAGATTAAGAGCATAATTTTTCTTTGCTAGCATAGCATTTTTCCAAGGTGTTTAACAAAGAACACCAGTGCAACAGAGAAAAGCAAGTCAAAAAAGGTAAGTGTGAGAAGCTCTGTCTTCCCTAGTCCCCTCCTTGGATATGACTGATGCATATTGGCAGCGAACTCTATCAATCCGGCACTTTCCCCCATTTATTTGGCCCTGCAGTCTGTTTACTCTTAGAGAAAGATTTTTCTAGAAAAGGAATATAATGGAATGTCCAACAGCTAAAACTCTAAAGTCAGCCTGATTCAAATACCAGCATAACCACTTGTTAGCTATAGGCAAGCTTCGTAACATCACTTTGTCCCTCAGTTTCCCCAGATAAAAATTGTCAAGACAATAAGTGTGAGTCTTCCAATATAAATGCAACAGCCTGCTGAGAGTCTTATATGATGGGTTCCTTTTTGTCACTCAGATCTCAGTTCACAATGTCACCCCCTCCAAGAGGCCTTCCCTGACCACCAGTATGAAGTTGGCCCCACCCAAGTCACTAGTTCATCCTCTTCTTTTCTTCATGATACTTCTCTGCTTGACTGTAAAATAGATATTTGTATTCTAGTTGACCCCAATAGAATTCAAGCATCATGTAGTCAAACGTTGTCATTTATCATTGCTCTATCCCTAAACTCATCCTCAAATAAGTATTAATTCAATGGATGGATGGATGGGTGAATGAATGAATGAATGAATGAATGAGGTGGCTGTGAGAATTAGATGTGAATCACATATCTGTGTTTCCCAAAGTGTGGTACACGTACCCCCAGGAGTACAGGAAGAGTTTGGTTGGGGTACGGAGTTTGGTGGGGATATGCACTGCACTGTGCTTAGCTGCACCTAATTCTACGTTCTCATGAGTACAAGGGGTACTCAGTGTTACAAAAATTATAGAAGGGGTACACATATGTCAAAAGTTTGAGAAACACTGAAATCATTCTTTATAATGCCTGACACATGAGCATCAATCTAGACACTGTTTTGAAAACTTTTGATGAATGATGTGGTTAGTGCATTTGAAATTCTGACATTATTTAACTTGCCTCTTCTTGCTGTATCATTCGAAAATAATTAATGGCATTTATTTAGAGGTGTATTGGAAAATGGGCTTTCAGGAATGGGGCAGGTGGGGGAGTGCATGTAGTATTTTACTGATTTCCATGGTGTAAATACTCCCACAATGACCAATTTCGGTGCTCAATGGATTAAAAGCAGGCTCACAAAATTTCAGAAAATAAAACATATGGCTCTCACAAGACAATACAAGTCTTCTCTGGGGAAAGGTCTTTTCAGGCCTCCATGTTTTGTTTGTTGAGTTGAAGTTTAAAAAAATTTTTTTAATTTTTGCCTGGCCGGTTTGGCACAGTGAATAGAGAGTTGATCTGTGGACTGAAGGATCCCAGGTTCGATCAAGGGCATGTACCTTGGTTGTGGGCACATCCCCAGTGGGAGTTGTGCAGGAGTCACCTGATCAATGTTTCTCTCTCGTCAATGTTTCTAACTCTCTATTCCTTTCCTTTCCTCTCTGTAAAAAAAAATTCAATAAAATATATTTTTTAAAATAATTTTTAATTGATTTTAGAGAAAGGGATAGAGAGAAAGAAACATCATTGATAAGAGAGAATCATTGATCAGCTGCCACTAAAATAAAATTTTATAGAGATTATTTTTTCCACATTCTCCCTTTTTGATGAGTCAAAGTAAGGACCTCCTACTGCCTGGTCTGATACTCAAGGAAACTAGTTGGATGTGTTGGACTGCATATTCTGTGAACTCTCAGACTGGGGTTTAAGGCTCTAAGCTTGATCTATATCCATAGCAGACCATTGTGTGGACCAACTAACAAAACACAAACACAATTTAGTTTAGATTTATTTAAATGGAGGCATCCACACAAGAGAATCAAGGGACCTTCTATTACGTGCCACCAATGAGCAGAATCTGATAACAGAGTAGGAGTGACTCTTATCCCGATCCCAAGATTCCAACATAGAGTGAAGGTCAATGCTGCAGATGGAGGCTTCTCTGGCACCATAGGCTTGCTGTACATGCAACAAGATCCCTTGGCACCGAAAGCAAAGTATCTGTGTTTTTCAAGTACAGCAATCTACCAACCAGAATTTTGAGTGGACACAACCAAAATTCAAAATCCACAGTCACTCAACATGCAAGTAATAACATGCCAATGATTCTTGCTTCTCTTCTGTAAACTATATGGAAAGTCTATAGAGTAAGGCAGGAAGAGACTAGCTTCTAATCCACTCTATCAGCTAGGTATTGCTATATAACAATTACCTGTAAAATTAAGCAGCTTAAAACAACACACATTTATTATCTCACAGTTTCTGTGTATCAGGAAGCCAAGGCACAACTTAGCTGGGTACTCTGCTTCACAGTTTCTCACAAAGCTGCAGTCCAGGTGTCGGCCCACAGCCTCCCATCTCATCTGAAGGCTCAACTGGGGAAGGCTCCACTTCCAAGGTCACTAAGTGGTTAGTGGCAGTTTTCAGTTCTTTGTGGCTTTGTAGTGAGAGTCTCAGTTCCTCACTGGGTCCTGGTTGAAGGCTGTCCCTAGTTCCTTATCACAAGGGCATCTCCCACATGATAGCTTGCTTCATAAAAGCAAGCAAGTTGAGAAGGCAATAGAGTCTTTTAACAAGATGAAAGCAACAGTCTTATGTAACGTAATCATGGGCATGTCACTGGCATCGCATTACCTTTGCCATTCTCCACTGTTCAGAAACAAGTCACTAGGTTCAGCTTATACTCAAGGGGAGAGGATTACACAAGGACATTACAGATCATTGGGGCCATGTTAGAAGTCTGCTCACCACAACCAACCTTCTTGGAATATGAATAGGAAGACCAGGTCCAACAAAACACCTGTTTAAGCATCTCAATGTGAACCCAATATTGCTAAGGTCTCATGAAAACAAGAGAGAATGCACACTGAGAACCTTAAGTCTGAAAACACAAAATTCTGTTCAAATAGTCTAACTCTAAGCAAATACAATCTACATCAGAGAAAACCCCTAGGAGCTTCTGTTTTAATTCGTCCCAACCTGAAAGCCATTGTTTTTTAACATTGAAATGAGTGACTCATGGGAAGGGCTGTCCACTTGAACAGGTATAGAATGCTGAGAAATCTGGTTTAGCCTAGAAGCAAATACATTTTGGAATTTTTATTTGCTGCTGTAGCATAATTTGAAAATTTACTACATGCCGTTTTACTGCCTACTATTTTCTCTGAGGCCTGTGTCTCCCACAGCAAGCTGCTCACATGGTCCTTTCACAATACAAACCCATCACAGTGGCAAAGAACTGCTGTAAAAATGTCAAGCCTTCGCTGTCACCCACCTTCTGTCTACGCTCCAGCCAGCCACATATTCTCAGACACATGAGCATATTCTCAGACAATGGTGGTGGCAGGCCGGAGAGGCTGCTTCTGAAAGACTTTGAATGGTTTAATCCACTAAGTACAAAACACATAGAAAACGTGGAACACTCCGTCCTAGATGAATGTAAGTGCAAGCAACAAAGATTACTTCAATCTAAACATTCAAAAATGTTCTGCACACATTTTACCATGCTTTCCAGAACTATCACTATGCTTTACTTTCTGAAAATTCTGCCCTTAATTCAGCTATAAAAAAAAAATTCTTAGGTTTACTGTTTCTGCTAATCACCTATTCATTTTGCTCCTCCAGAGAGATGATTTTTGGTAAACATCTAAAACGTAAACAGGACCGTACAAAGGCCCTGAAACCACCACCGTCTGTGGGAAAGCAGCCGTGAACCATGTTAGAGCTGACATGTGCTACACACGCCTGGACCCTGAATTCGTGTCGCATAATCATGGAGCATATGTGTGGAGAGAGCAGAGACAACAAACACATGCAAAATTCCAGCTTGAAGGTGATAAGCAGTCGGGAAGGTTATAAAACAGGTGACCGAGGGAATTTTTAAGGCTGTAGATGTCTTCCAAGCTGTGAAAACACCTTGGTAACATATTTTCACTCGTAAAATAGGACTTTGGGACCATACAGGGAATGTTCTTACCTCCCTCAGATGTATGTTTTCCTTCTCTTTCTGGTCTAAGATCACCTCCAAGTGGCTGACTTGAGACTCGGCCTCTGCCACCCGTCGCGTCCGTTCGTTGTCTTCCTCCAGACTCTTGGACGGCAAGCCTTTACTCTGTAACATCTCCAGAAGCTTCTTAATGGACTCGTCTCGGGCGTTGAGGGTCTGTTTCTGCGTTTCGATCCTCAGCTCCATCTCCTCCAGGGTCTTCCTCAGCAGGAACAGCTCCTTGGCCTGCCGGTCATGCTCGGCCTGCAGCCGCCGGAAGTTCTCCTCGGTCAGCTCGATGGTGAAGTGCTCGGCGCCGCGGTTGCCGCTCTCCTGCTGCAGGAGGTGGTTGAGGTCTCTCTGGGTTCGCAGCTCATCCTGAAGCGCCTGGATCGTCAACTGCAGGTGCTGTAGACGGAAAGACGGGGCAGGAAAGGAGACAGGAGAAAAGTCAATGGCAAGGCCACGTGCTATAGGGCTGGTCCCGCACCATGAAGATGGAGTGTTAACCATGAGGTCCACGGGGCCAGCGTGAAGTCTCCGGGGTGACTTCAGAAGCACAGGGAGAGGGGGAGTTAATTCAATGAGGCTTTCTCCATGTCTTAGGAGAAGAGAAATGCACACATACACAGAAACAGTTATGTCAGTGTCAGTCACAAGGGAAATTGCAGTCCACGGTTTTAGTTTAGGAAGTGGGAAGGGTTAGAGGGAAACTCACAGCACACCTTCTTTATGCCCACAGTGCTCCAGACCCAGTATTCCTTGTTTCCTAAGGGATTCTTTATTCTACTATCCATTATTTTCCATGGTAAATGCATGTCCATTTAAAAATGAAAATAATAGCATCCACTACAAGTAGACACAAACAAGGACTTTATTTTTACAAATAAAGCTGTGAACAGGTTTAGTGAACAGGATTACTGCATCTGCAAGCAAAGGGAACAAAGGCGGATGGAGACAGACACTCAGACACAGGGGGAGGGGAGGCTGTGCGGAGTGAAACAAGCGAGCTGCAAAGAGTAGACAAACCTTGGTTCTTCTGGCATCCAGCAACTGAACAGCATGGGAAATGGAAAAAAAAAAAATGAAGCAAGAAATCAACACAACGAAAAGTCCAGTGCAAGCAAAGGATATTTAACAGAAAGAACTTAATCAACATAAAGTACCTTTACAGAGGGGAAAAAAAAGAAAAAGAAAAACAATTTCTTCTTAGCAAAGACCCATAAGCTACAAGGAATCTACAGTACTGATGTTTGATAAATGTTTTGGGGTGTTTTTTTTTTTTAAGTGAGGTTTATTCCATCTTTTCTTTTCCTAAATCTCCCTGACACAGTGAGTGTGTTATCATGGAGAAAAGCACAATACTCCAGAAGCACCCACACCTAATTCCAGGCCACCCTTTTAACCAAAATTACAGGAGGAGCACCAGAGAAACAAAAGCATCACCAATGTGAGACGAGAACCCCTTGGAAGAATGAAATAACGATACATGTTATAACATAGATGAAAATGTGCTTAGTGAAAGAAACCAATCACTAGTATTGCATGATTCCATTGATATTAAATGTTCAAATACATAGAGACAGAAAATAAATTAATGGTTGCCAGGGCCTGGATAGGGAGGTGATAAGGAGTTACTGCTAAAGTGTATATGGTTTCTTTTTTGGCGTGATGATGATGTTCTAAACTTTATTATATTGACGGTTATATAACTTTGGGGATATATTTTTAAAATACTCAATTTAATACTATGTATATTCCTCACCCAAGTATATGTTTATTGATTTTAGGGAGAGAGGAAGTGAGAAAGAGAAACATCAATCAGTTGCCTCTTGTATGCACCTCAGTCAGAGACTGACCCTCCTACCCAGACATGTGCCCCGATCAGGAATCAAACCCACAACCTTTTGGTGTACGGGGTGATGCTTCAATCAACTGAGCCACCTAGGCAGGGAAGTGGTGCATTATATTTTTTTAAAAATAATTCATAATGGCCATAATCAAATACGTCCAGTTGCTGATTCCCCCTCAGTGCCCTGTGAGGCACTGTGGCATATGGATGCGAAAGTGAGTATTTGACTCCTGTGCTCTAGGAATTTCAGTGGAACTGTACAGATGAAGTGTTTATCTGTGATATTTCCTACCACAAAGAGTTGTTGTGAGAATTAAATTAGCTAATTCAGTACATATAAAGCTCTAGGAAGTGCAGAGTAATCACTTCTACTGTATCAGTCAGGATAGGATCGAAAATGCTGCTGCGACAACAGCAACAGAAACCCACATTCTGAAAGACATAACCCCACCTGACATGCTGAGGACACAGAAAAAGCCCCTGAAGACTCACATGTTGACAACATTTTACAAATGAGAAAATCAAATCACACAGGTTCAATGTCAGGTTCAAGAGCACACAAACATTGCCAAAGCCAGAATCTCTGTTTCTGAGGTTCTGGGCTCCATCGTATGTGTATTCCAATAACCCTGAAAGTAGACAAAAAGGGGATGGCTCTCTACTTTAACGACTTAGGAAATGGCAGTCGTGTGAGGCAGACTTAGCAATAACCTCCATTGTTTCACTTACATATTACTGGGTCCTGTCTGATAGTTAAGTAGTATGGGACACAGCAAGGACAGGGACAATTTATTGAGACCTCCTTTTCTAAGTCCTTGGAATTGGTCTGTTAGCTAGTTAGAATTAGCTATTGGAACACAAACTCAATAAAAACCACCTCTAAAGATCATTATACAATAAAGGGAAATCTCTCACAAAGCCAAAACACCTTTTCTGAGGGTCAAAATCTAAGAAAAAGATGCACAGTTTTCAATTCCCCTTCCCAGATTATTCAGTTCCTTCAGGCTGAATCACTCCCCTTATCAACTGTGAAAGCACATTTCTCTTAGGGCAGGCACCTGAGCCCCATTGGATCAATAAACTTATTACCTACATCAGGTGCTTGTTACCTACATCAGGTACCTACAAACCAGCAACCTGCAAGGCTGGATTTTAGGGCCAACTCTTGGCATTTCCCAGTCATCACGACAGTGTCAACTTCCCAAAGCCTCGGCCACTCCGTCTATGGCTTCCACCCCACTGCACCACTAGAAAGAGAAGCCCTCCAATGTCCGCCTACATCCGGAAGGACATCACCACATGACCCGACCTCGTACCTGTGTCCCAGCCAAACTGCTATCAACTCAGCACTCGTGGCACAGGTGAAACAGGAGGCAAAAAATCCTCCTCGAGTACAAAAGTGAGGCTGTGGTTGGATGAGTACTCAGAGAGCTTTTTACTCCCCACCCTGATTCTGGAGACTCTCAGAGAACCAAAGCTCAGAAAGCAAACCCCTTTCTCTGCAGCCTGCCACTGGGGATATCACGGAGGGGAGCAAAGCAGGTGTAACAATGGGCATACAGGCTACTCCTTCCAGTCTGTCCGCTGGGAGAACAAATAGAATGCACCACATTTATCAGGATACCTACCCTTGAACCAGTTCTTTTTAACCTTTGCCCTCCACACTTCATCGCATCCTTTCAACTCTGCCCCTGGAGAGTACAGACTAACCTCATCTCCAGTCCATAGAAGAAAAAAGGTTTAAAATCATTGGTCTGCCCTTTAAACACAGGTAAACAAAATGGGAGCTGGAAAGATTAGTCTGTCCAATTAATTCCAGTCTCAGACAGTATAGGAGGTCACAATAACTTCTCTTTCTGGTACTATGGCAGGCTACATTTTCTGGTAGGCCCTTCCAGTATGCAACAGGTAGATAGAAGCAAATGTATCTTTCAAAGCATTGTTGTGCTTTAAAAAAAAAAAAAAAGTAATCTCCAGGAGAAAGAGAAAGTGAGCTTCTCAAGAGCAGGTTTTGGAACAAAACTGGATGTTACCCCTAAATCTAGCACATAGTAGGTATTCATAAATAGAAAGTGCAATTTGGGCAGGAAGATGAAAGGACCAAAGGAAAAATGGTCTCCCCAGACAATTGGCACAAGGGAACAATGTGAGGGAGAATGGGTTTCATTCCTCTTTGCTTTGCTGTAGTTAGGATGGGGTGAGGAAAATGGTGGGGAGGGCGAGTGTGTCCTTGACCTCAGATTACTCTGCCCAGTTCTGTCCTCCAAAACTAAAAATGCCTCACATCCACCAGGTCACTTGGCTGACAACACTGCTCCGAAGCTGCCAGCACTACGTCCACTCCACAAGGGGATTAATAGGGCAGGCTTACGGGATTGGACTGCAATCACATCATTAGCTGATACAGGCCAGTGGCTAAAATTGAGGTTTCCTCCAGCCAATTCTAAGAACTTCATTTTGCACAACTCTTAAAAGCTCAAGAAAAGGAGAAGAATGCAAATAAAAGAAACTAAGACACGCTTGAGTTTATATGAAAGAGGAGGGGGAATATCCTTTGCCTTAGCCAATGTTTAGGAAGATGACCTCCAATTGCTACTGGAGTCAGAATCTAATCCAGATTTCAGAATATCTATGGCACATTCAATATATATGTGTGTGTGTGTGTGTGTGTGTGTGTGTGTGTGTGTATGTGTTCCATGTACATCATATGAATATATATATATATTCATATGATGTACATGGAACACATAATTATTTAAATAGGGACTAGCCAGATGTTTAGAATCTACTGTGTCTTATCCCAAAATATGGAAAATATGAGTTCCTGGCAGATTTGAAAAAAAAAAAAAATCTGTGACCTTAAGCTCTTTTCCATACTATGAGGGGAAAAAAAACAAACAAAAAAAATGATAAAGTTTTGTACTATAAAGCAGTTTACGGTTTCATTGCTATGAAAACCGTCTCTGAGCTATATAAAAATATGAATTGGCTTATACCCAAAAGTCTTGAACTTTTTTTTAATAAATCCATACGGCTTCTCAACCAAAGGTTTAACATAACTCTTTCAAAGAAAGCGGAATCTCTCTGCAGACAACTTGGCCTGCTCTACTTCTTCTGTGACTTTATTTTCCTACTTGTCATTTCCCAGTTTGTCTCTAATCAAATTTTAAGGGTAGGTTCTCTGATCCCTTTTTTCCATAATCCCAAAGGCAGGACACACAGAACTCCTTCTGGCTCCAAACCTTCATGTGTGTGAAAAGATGAACAGCAGACGTTGGCGGAAAACATATGGCCCCGTGTGTTGCGGAAGAGTTGCTCTACTGAGAAAGGTATAAAAAATTAATATTTGGACATATGGCCCTAGGCGTTCTCCTTTAGGATAAAGTAAGGACACTGGGTGATTCTTAAAAGCACCAAAGTGCAGGGACCCTGGGTTCTTCGGGCAGACGTGCTGTCAGAGATAACTGTGGAACCCACTTAGGTTGATAGCATGTGACACTGTGCCAAGATTCATAACACTGGGAACAGCATCCATGGGAAAGCCCTCTTGGCAGCT